CTTCGACTAAAAACTCCCGCCTAATCAATAAATTATATTCACTGGAGCAATAGTCTTGCTGGTTACATGAAAACACAAAGGTCAATGTCTTCAAGAAGGCCTCTGATAGTGCTCCACACCTTCGGCTACTATATAAGATTCTAGAAGTTGGGATAAGGGGGAATATTTTAAGTTGGATAGAGGACTTCTTAATTAGTCCATCGCAGTCTGTGTGCATTAGCAATACGAAATTAATGCCATTGTCACTTGTGAATGAAGTACCTCAAGGTTCTGTGTTTGGGCAATTGCTCTTCCTAATTTATGTTAATGACTGCATAGATGGTACTAGCAAAGGGGTCAAGCTTGCAGATTACATTAAAATACGACTAGCAATCAAATACAGGAGTGGTGGGCACACACTTCAAGGACTTAATTGCCTAACTGAATGGTCCGACAAATGGTTACTGAGGTTTAACATTGAGAAGCGTTTCGTACTGCAGTGAAAACAAAGAAGGGGACGAATAATAAAGCCGCACATTATTACTTCCTAAGTGAAAGGTGCTTTTCAGATGTAATTGAACAAAAAGACACTGGAACCACGATTCTGACATCCCTAGTCCTCCTCTTATGGCCTCAAGGCGAAATAAAGCAACTGAGGCTCTGTTCGCCGTCAAAATAACTTTTATGGATATAAATAAGGAACTATTTGGGAAAGTATACGGAACCGTTATACGTTCGTAACTGAAAGATGGAATCCAAATGGGGCTAACCCTATCTAAAGAAGATGATAAGGTGCTGGATAGGTTTCAAAGAAGGGAAATGAAATCATGAAAGGCCCAGGTAACTTATCCGACAAACAAGTACAAAAAGAAATTGCTGTCGATTTTAAACATACTTCCTTTGTTGTCTGTCCATACTCGAACGGCCGCTCTGCCTGGGAAGACTCTCGACTGAGGCTAAAATCACACGCAAAGAGAAGATAATTAGTTTTAGCTATAAAATGTTACATGCAAAATCAATTCCTCATAGCCGGGATCTTACCCATGCAACTATTATTATACCGATGCGTTTTAGATAACCTTAATAGGTTTTTTAGCTACTTGTGGACAAAGCTAGATATTTCCGGTGCTAAGAGCGCTCCCAAGTCCGAAAGCGTTCCTATGAAGTGTCAATTATATCTGGCAAATGCGCGATTCGAGGACTAACTTGAACAAGGAGATGGCAGAGCACTAGTTTCTGTTTGAAATATTGATAAGGAATCATATAGGTGGGATCGCCCTGTAGGATGCAAATCAGTTTGTTGGAAAACGTTTTTTAGGCAAAAGACCTGTACAGACAAGGACAAGAGAGATCAAGTTGGCTTTTTCAGCTTTATTAGGCATCACCAGCCTGGTATACTCAATCCTAGGTGTTGCAAACCCTGTGGCTCGAACCCCCGACCTGATGTTTATAGGTCCAATGTCCTAACCATTGAGTCACGGACTCCTTATCGTGCCATTTTTTGATCGGGAATATTAACGCATTTCTGTTACTGTCTCTGATGATGAGTTCGGGAAAGAATCCGACAGATTAGGTTAATAAGGTTCTTGTCCCAGCGATCGCATCGACTTCCTTTTAATATTACCAATGTTGGATGGGTGCTCACCAATCAGTTGCGAGACACATCCCCTCATTAGGCATTCAGGCTCCTTCTTGAGTCCCGGCAACAGTTTCATAAAGACTAACCTATTGCAGGAAGAAAAAATTACTGGTGTTCTCCTTTTCTGTTTATTGACACCAGCCTAGCAAGGTATACTCAGTCAACATCAGCCTTCTGTATCTATTATTTCTGTGCATGAACCAGATCAACTTCCCCAAATAGCATGATATGGAATCTTAGCATTGTCTCCCTGGCTGGTTGCCAGATGCGATAAAACTGCTACAAAATGTGTGCACCTGGGAATGGAACTCATCTGGTCAAATAACACTTTCACGTATTGTGCTCTCCCAGGTGTCTCGTAATGCTCTACCCACATCCTGCTTTCATACATTGAAAACTACTTAACCGGCATGCTTGTCTGATACTGAGGCTCTGTCGATCGTCTGAATGTGTTCAGCTACGTCATGGCGCCAGTTTCTGGTGAATTGGCCTCGTCTCTAATTTATCCAATCGGAATTTTAAACACTAAGCTCACGCAGGTCCGGTGCGGCCTTCCTCAAATACCCTGGCAATACTGTGACGCGAATTGCCGACACTGATTTAGAGCAAGAATGGTTCGTTTGGGCC